ATCTGATGCTCTGGGTTAGATCACACACAGATACCTCCCCTCCAAAACATACTCAACACACTCACCTATGTTGCAACATAGTGCAGTTAGCACCACTTCTATTGTAACAAACGAGACACAAGATAACACACACAAAATAATAAAAAAGAAAATAATAAAGGAAGAACAACATTTAATGTAGATTGTAATGCACAGATCTTACTATATATAATATAAAAGACAATGGATTTCTTTCTGCTTACATGTTGCTTCTGTCTGTAATTAGGTTTCTTCATGATGTCAAACAGGATTTTAATGTGATTAAGGGATGGCTCATCCCTCTTCTTAATGAAAGCTGTACGCCTGTTAATAGTTATCAAAGTAATAACAGACCTCTGATGTTGTGTTGTGTTACATCAGAATTAAATCTTTTTCGTACAGTGATCTTCTATTGGGGAATCAAAGGTAATTAGATGATTGGCTGCTCCAATGTTTCTTGATCAGCTATATGTTGTTGCATTATTAGCTAACGCACAAAGAACTAACTGAACCGCCTGTGAATCTATATTTGATATTTGCGTCAGGGTGCATATTCATTAAGCTTCTCAGAGTAGAGTGCTGATCTGTTCTGTCATACAGTCAACTAAAAGCAGACCGGACTGGACACTAACACACACACACACACACACACAAAAAAACACACAGAACAGAATAGCACAAGAGAGAGATTTGACCCTGTATCATCACTCTTATTAAGTTTTATGAATATGGGCCCAGGAGTCTCAGGAACTCCAGTGTTGCATTAGAGTTACTAAAGCCCAGATAATTACAGAGAATAAATGTGCTATAACCAGTTGTTATGACACTCTTACACTAGTGAGTATACTGTCCAGCTGCATATTAGCTGACCTCTGGTGCTCAAGAAAAATACCCACAGTGAACTCATTTAAGAATAATACTTACAGTTTGGCTTTCTTGCTTTTCTGTTCTTTGTCTTTTTTCTATGTGTATGTTAGTGTGTCCAGTCCAGGTGTACGCTCCAGATGTTGGCTATCAACATATCATCATATCTGATGTTCCTGATCAGCTGGTTCCCTATAACAAATTGATATAAAGGACATGTCAAAAGCCTGTAGTCTGCTGTCTCGTTTCTCATTCGCTTGTGATTACAGAAAGCGGACATACTATAAATCTACTCCAGCCAGCACCAGCCCAAATAAACTTTAACATTTACCAAATTAATTCAAACTGAAGTCCCACAATAAAAACTGTTTTAAAAAACGAGTATGTTTCTTAACACAAGGATTGTGTTAACACCTATTTAAACTAAAGGCAATAATAGAGATAGTAATAAGCTAAATACACACAAAATCATACTGAATGAAAATTGAGTCTGAACTATTTAGGTGATGTTCAAAACTTTTCATTTAATAACAATTTAATGCACACAATTGAACCTTAAAACCATTAAAACCAAAAATCTTTGAGGGTGCATGTACATTGTTTGTACCTTGATGAACAAAAACATCCCTGTACAGTAAGTTTATTTCTAACAGTGTAGGTTGTTATGTGTCTGAAGCTCAAGTGGTGCTCCTGCCTTATCTGATGCTCTGGGTTAGATCACACACAGATACCTCCCCTCCAAAACATACTCAACACACTCACCTATGTTGCAACATAGTGCAGTTAGCACCACTTCTATTGTAACAAACGAGACACAAGATAACACACACAAAATAATAAAAAAGAAAATAATAAAGGAAGAACAACATTTAATGTAGATTGTAATGCACAGATCTTACTATATATAATATAAAAGACAATGGATTTCTTTCTGCTTACATGTTGCTTCTGTCTGTAATTAGGTTTCTTCATGATGTCAAACAGGATTTTAATGTGATTAAGGGATGGCTCATCCCTCTTCTTAATGAAAGCTGTACGCCTGTTAATAGTTATCAATGTAATAACAGACCTCTGATGTTGTGTTGTGTTACATCAGAATTAAATCTTTTTCGTACAGTGATCTTCTATTGGGGAATCAAAGGTAATTGGATGATTGGCTGCTCCAATGTTTCTTGATCAGCTATATGTTGTTGCATTATTAGCTAATGCACAAAGAACTAACTGAACCGCCTAGAGTTGAATCTATATGTGATATTTGCATCAGGGTGCATATTCATTAAGCTTCTCAGAGTAGAAGTGCTGATCTGTTCCTGTCAGTACAGTCAACTAAAAGCAGACTGGACTGGACACTAACACACACACACAAAACAGACACAGAACAGAATAGCACAAGAGAGAGAGATTTGACCCTGTATCATCACTCCTATTAAGTTTTATGAATATGGGCCCAGGAGTCTCAGGAACTCCAGTGTTGCATTAGAGTTACAAAGCCCAGATAATTACAGAGTGCACTCTTGTTGTTGACTACAAATAGGGAACATTCCAAAATAAATGTGCTATAACCAGTTCCTATGACACTCCTACACCATTGAGTATACTGTCCAGCTGCATGTTAGTTGACCACTGGTGAGAGTTCTGCTCAAGAAAAATACCCACAGTGAACTCATTTAAGAATAATACTTACAGTGTCAGCGTTATCTCATTTGGCTTTCTACTCTGCGTGCTGGGTGACAGGTGGAAGTGGCAGCTCTCGTGACAGTACAAACAGCCACTTTACCGTCACTTCACTTTTATTAGCAACTGGCACTGCACCACCACTTCACTGCCACTTTTACTAGTGACCAGCACTGAACTGCCACTTCACCACCACTTTTATTAGTGACCGGCACTGAACCACCACTTCACTGCCACTTTTATGAGCGGCTGGCACTGAACTGCCACTTGACTGCCACTTTTATTAGCGACCAGCATTGAACTGCCACTTTTATTAGTGACTAGCACTGAACCGCCACTTCACTGCCACTTTTATAAGCGACTGGCACTGCATCACCACTTTTATTAGTGACCAGCACCGAACCGCCACTTTTATTAGCGACTGGCACTGCACCACAACTGTGGAAGTGAAGTGATGGTAAAGTGACAGTAAAGTGGCAGTGCAGTGATGGTGAAGTGACGGTGAAGTGGCGGTGCAGTGCCGGTTGCCGATAAAAGTCGCGGTGAAGAGGCAGTGCAGTGCAGGTCGCTGATAAAGTGGTGGTGAAGTGCAGGTCACTGATAAAAGTGGCGGCGAAGTGACGGTCGCTGTTAAAAGTGACGGTGAAGTGACGGTAAAGTGGCTGTCATCTTGCGTCACAAGAGCCACCACTTTGGCCAGTCACCAGGCACGCAGAGATCCAAATCTGATTGTTGAAGATTCTGTTTGTTACAAGGTTGTTAAATGAGCTGTAATACAAATATTGCAACATGCATGCAACACTGCTGTGCACTGAGCTGACCTCAAAAGACTGGCAACCTCACTAAATTACACAAACCAGTAAGCTTTGGCACTTGTAGCCTGCAGTTTGAATAGCTGATGCTATATAAGACTGTTTCAGTTTAAAAGTAGACCTAACTCTTATGCAACATCATTTCAATGTGCATTTCGGTGCGTGTTAGCTTACTTGTAGCATTATTTCCACTGCAACAAGACCCCATGATTCACAGGGTCTGGTGACATACTAGGGAAAAGTATGAAAAACAACACGTAAAATCTAACCAAGTAGCATTGACTGGACATAAATAATTCATAAAACTAATTTTTCTTCACTTTTATTTTTAAAAATGAGAAATTATTAAATTATCGAAATATTGTTAAAGTTTCAAAACACACCATTTCCTCCCCAGTCCATGCTGTCCGTATGAAAACTAAGCTACAAGAACCACCCATTTTGAATTAATTTGTTTTTGTGATGTCACAGTTACATTATTCACATACTCAGTCAACAGCAGTTCAGTCCTGCCCATTCACGCTACCTTTGAGGGGTGTCAGGCAGTATAACAAAATGTACTATTATTGTGATAAATTATGTCACAATATGTAACAAAATGCTTTTCTGATATTATTGTTTATTTCATCAAACTCCCCCCCAACTGCATGTTTCATTACAAAAAGAGCATAATAAGTCCCATTTAATGGAATTTAGTGCAGCATACTACTTGAAATGTTGAATACAAGTTATTGTGTTCATAGTTTGTGATAGTATTACAGCGTTCATGCTATTAAAAGAGACACAGCTTTCGCAGGAGTCATGGAGCTTTATTCTACAGCTGTTGTTGGTCTGCTGTACATAAGCAGAGTTTTCTCTTTACTAACAGCTAGTTCACTTCTCAGCTCACTTCTGACTCAGCTGTTTTTGCCCACCCACAACCATATATCCCCCTGGAGCAATACTATCCCTGCACTTCACGATAAGAGTCCTTGGCAGAATAACCCCGTGAATAAATGCTTAAGAGCAAATAACCTAAAACCAACATGCAAAACATTTCTTGAACATGCCACAATGTTTTTAAATGTCTTTTCCAGCTTATCAAATGGAAAAAGGAAACAAATGGACATATCTATGTACATACATATATGTCGTTAACATATCTTGAATTGTGAAAACTTACTAAAGTATTGCGATATTACATTTTTCCATATCGCCAGGCTCTAATACCAGTTTTACCACATGTAAATTGCACCCAAACAGCTGATAAAGTCATATTTACAATTGGCCAACTCAGGATTTGAGGTTGCCAGATGTAATGTATAACGCAACATTTTTCTCCAGAGAAAAAAAGTAGACTTGGTGATGAATGTTTAAAAATACCTTTTGTGTGAAAAAAGAAAAATACAGGACACGCAGGGCCCTTTAAACGTTAAGACTGCGCTACTGAAGTAGCAACAATTCCGAAATATGATGGCTCATAAATGAACAAGCAGTGACTGGCGTGACTTTCCACATCGCTACAACAGCCAAGGATCCCAAAGTCACGTGACTAATCGATCGCATGGGTGTTTTGCATGCCCTGTTTCGCTCGCAGTGATTGGCTAATGTTGCCGGTTCACGTGAACACGGAGTGATCGAGAGTCTCCACGGAATGAAATGCAGCGACTGTAAGCGCGGAGCGTCTGTTAATGCGGGGAAGAGGAAGAGCTACAGGTCGGCGTGCTGCAACCTCCATCTGCTCCAGAGCGGCTAAAATAGGACACAGCAGCCTCAAATAGCCGCTTTCACCTGCTGTCGAGTTTTATATGCTCTAAACAAAGGTAAGCCGTAGCACAATTTGTCATGACTTACAGTCGCTAAGTAAAGCAAATGTGCTTGGAAAGAAACAGCAGACGAGCTTTAGCTACATTTTGAAACGTCTCCAAGTGCACAGGAAAATAATGGCTAAAACCAGGAAGAGTCGGTCGGTTTCGATGTGAGCTGTAGCGTAAAGTAGTGAATGAGACTTTAAACCAAAACGAAAATTTCCGAGTTTAATCTCACCAACTGATTTTGAAAGAAACATGAGAAAGTAGACAGTACTTTTGTGAGAGTCTCTGGAAACTAGCTAGGTTTTCTTCGTTGTTGCTAGGCCTATTGTTTACATCTACAATAGCAGGCTTCAGATTTGGAGTGCAGCGCTGAGCTGAACCTTTACATATTATTTACAGGACGTCTTTAACCTACATTGTTAGGACATTTAACACTTGTGAAGTGTTGAGTTATTGGAACTACCCTTTAGCTCATTTGATGCCAACACCAGTCCCTCTGAAATGATGCCTTATAAGGCAAACTGTAGGGTTTTTTCATCTCCAGGCAGGAAACCGGCACAGATTTTAAAGTGAGATTAAAAGCTAAACGTCTCATTCAGTTTAACATCTTCTGTCTGAATCATTTAGTGGTGTCCAGAGAGTCTGCCAGATTAGTCTAAAATTTAGTGTTTCTCCAGCCGGGTCCTGGAAGCCCACTGCCCTGCACTTTTTAGTGTTTTCCCAACCCCCAACACACCTGATCCAGTTAATCAGCTCATTAACAGCCCATTATTGAGTTAAAGTGACTGTGTTAAAGCAGGAGAAGCAGTAAAATGTGCAGGGCAGTGGGCCTCCAGGACCAGAGTTGAGGGAAACACATACCCAAGAGTTTCATTTTTCAATTAAATAATGGCTCAAGGAGAAACTGCTACGAATAACTAAGCTGAGTTGGGGGGCAAAGAGCATCCAAGTCCAAAAACCCCAAAAATAATGAGTTCCTTATTATAAAGCTGCAGTGGAACATCTTAGTAGGCCTACATACAGCATCTATAAGTATAGGACCTGTTGGAACCAAAATATGCCATTAGAAACTAAAGGGGAGTGGGAAAATTTGGATGAGAGAGGTGATTATTTTCCGCACACAATATATCTAAGTTAAAATAAAAAAAATAAAAAGTACTGGTCTAAAAATGGTTAGAAAATTAACCCATTCTAATTTTACTTAAGCAGGTGAATAAATTAGTAACTACTTACTTCTTTACAACATCTTCATTTTCTTGATAAGATATTGATTGTGCAAGCCAGTGGAATATGGTATTATGACATTGCACAAATAGCCTTATCTTTACAACTACTATTTTAGTGACAAAGCAGTAATAACTAGGATTTTTGCCGTTTACATAGCACAGTGTGAACACCAGAGGGTGCTAAACATTCCCTTTTCTTATCTGTTCCTTTACATTTTGTAACAGTGTCTCACCACCCTATGCCTTCAGGGCTGAGCTACACTTGTATGACCTAAAGTACTTCTGACCTACTTGCTTTTAGCCTTGGTAACTTGCAATTAATGTTTAACAGATTGCGTCAGCGATGTTTGTCTTAACCCTCATTCTGAGTGCATATGTAAAGACCATGCAGAGTTTAACCTTTTGTCATGATTTTATTTAATTATGCATGCTCTTTTAAACTAGTGGCTAACCTTTAAATTATTTATTCACTTTCAGTGCATGCGGCTCTTGTGACAGTTTCATCATGCCAGTTGAATTGGCTATGCCGGTCTTTCTGTCAAATGAGGAGTTCCAGAACAGAAAGACGTCCAAGTACAAGAGATCCCTGCGGCCATGCCTGCACTCGAGATCAGTTCCTTCGCTCAGCTTTCACTCTCCTCTCCAGAAGTCCGAACTGAATGAGGTGAATGTGTCTTTGAAGGCACACGGCAAGGCCAAAAAGCAGGTGTCTTTTGCCGACCACAAGGGCTTGGCCCTCACCATGGTGAAGATATTCTCTGAATTCGATGACCCTATTGATGTCCCACTAAGCATTCAACAGCTTTTCACCTCTACGCTTATGGTGTCCGAAGACGAGAACAAGCTAATCCTTGACTTTACCCAGCCATCTGCAGATTATTTGCGGTTTCGTCAGCGTATAGAGGAAGACTTTGTTTGCCTTGAAAACTGCATGCTAAAGGATAGGGCTGTGGCAGGCACTGTCAAAGTCAAAAACCTTTCGTTTGAGAAGTCTGTTAAAGTGCGCCTCACATTTGACACGTGGAAGAATTACACAGATGTAGATTGTCAGTATGTCAAGGACACTTACACAGGCACTGACCGGGACACCTTCTCTTTTGAGGTGGACTTACCTGAGCAAGTGCCACCACACGAACGAATTGAGTTTGCAGTGTTCTATGTGGTGAATGGTGTCACATACTGGGATAGCAACAAGGGGCACAATTACAGAATCATCAGCTCATCACTGAAGAAGAGTTCAAATGACCTGAGCAGTGGTCATCAGCACTACGGTGTCAGTGACTGGGACGTTCACTTTGACAGATATGGAAGCCCCAGGTGTTCTCATGGAATTTTTGCAGAGTGGCCGAGCTACGCTGGCTATGAGGACCTTGGCCCATATTACTGAATCCTCTTTTAGTGCTTTTGTCAGCCAACACAGTTATCATCTATGTCATTGGTTATATAGATAATCTCTTGAGCTGTCAAAAGAAATCTTTAAAATCAAGACCAATGTCAGGTCTATTTTTGAGAATGTATTAATGATTTATGTGACTCAAGAAATTCAACGAATATACCTCAGACACTTTCAGTAGATCAAGCTATATTTATTTTGTTACTATAGTGAAATAAGAGTATGTAATTTTCTGATAAAATACTTTCTGTTTGAAGACAAGTTGCAAGACAACTTGTTTGTGTTGTAAAATATGATCTCATACATGTTTGAATGCATATCAGTTTTCTTCCAGAAATGTAATGGATTGGCTTTGTCCTTTCTGTGCTGCTGCCTTTAAATAATGCATGTTTCCTATGGACCGTTAAATCATGCATTCACTGTATATGTGTGGAAAAATGCGAGTGTTGTTTAGTTTCTGTTGGCTGATGGAAGTCTAAGCCTGTCTATAAATTTGGGTCTTCATTGACAGCAGGATGAATGATAAAACGAACACTGACCTGTTATATCATTTTTTTTTTGTGTGTTCAGTTGCATAATCCACTCAGTTATGCAACACGTTACAGTTGGTCAGGTTTAGTAGATGCACTGGTTGGTGCATTGTCAGACACAAACTTTTAATGTTGGTCTGTTTGGTGCACGGTAGATGCAGAAAAGTTGTTTTTATTTTTTATCATTAATGAAATCTGTAAATTTGTCTAATTTGCTGTATAGTTCATTGTGTTGATCTTCCTTTAAGTGCAACACGTGATGTTAAGCATCAACTCACAATGTTATGCCTTTCAAAATGTTTTTCACTTAGTTTTGGTGAAGGGATGCACTTTGAATCAGATACCAATTGCAGTGTTTTAAGCCACAGTTTTGACATGTCTGTTCTTTTTTTTTCTTCCTTTTTTTTCAGTATCACTTTTGTGCATTTCAGAATATTTTGGTCAATATTGTTCTTTTGGCATGTTCATGTTCAGTCAATGCTTTTTAGTGTTTTATTTTTCTATAATTAATGTTGAATAAAGAATAATATAATAAATGTACTGAGTTTTGCTTATGGATGGTCTGCTTTAGTCTGCAAAGCAGACCATCAGTTTAGAAATGTTTGAATAGGTAAAGCCTACAGGACTATATTGATTTATGACATTGCACTTTGCAATAAACCTGAGTTCAAGTTCATTTACAGGGCAAAGAGTAGATGATTTGTTGACCCCTTCACCTGTTCATAGCTTACTTTGACAGGATCAATTTAAAAAATGTAAATAAATGGAATAAACATGCAGTGTTTGTGCTATTTGGCATATTTAGGACCCGAGTAAGAGAAATAAAATCTATTACAATACTGGGTAACATACAACTGTTTTGGGTTGGAATATGATAGTGACATTGCCTGTAACTTGGATATTAGTTGCTGAATTACAATAAAAACTACAGCAAGTAAACAAGGTAGTATGCTTAAATCAGTTACCCGATTCTGCTATAGAGGTAATTATTTGCTATTTCAGAATAATCATGGTTGAGGCTACCTGGTTTAATTTTATTTATGGTAAATAAATCACCACAGTTTTACTTAGAAGTTGCATTAATCATAAACTATTCACAAAATTTAGCGCATTTCAGATTTTTATTTAATTTTCAGTTTGAATGAAATCGCTTTGGTGTCGTCGGGGTTAGGAGAGCGTAAGCAAAAACGCGGGCTTTTATTTTGAAAAGCAAAACCATGTCCGGTTAGTAGAGGCACTCTTTGCTAAGGGCTGCCTTAAATTTGGCGTCTTTTCTACTTTTTTTAAGGTTTTATTTTTCCTTCACGTAGAATGAAACCACAGATTAACCTACATACCACCACAAAATATATCTAAGTGTTGACTTGTACTTTTTAGTGCTGTAGCTAGTGAGACTGCTGTTGTGGCAGGTAGCAGAACGCGCCAAAGAGCCATGAGCTACCGGCCTGAGCGCTGAAGTAATGCTAGCAGAGCAAAGTGAATAAAACGTGGGAATAATGGAGGAAAACGACGAGAATGTCCTTCACAAACCCGAAAATACAGAATCTGGAAACGAGCAAGAGGACAGTGCCTGCTCTAATGTGAGTCTTCGATACGAGGCTGAAGTTAACTTCCTGTTCGCCAGTTTCTTGTTCGAATTTTCCCGTTCCACCTTAAATAGTGCAGCATTTGCAGTCCGGCCAAGAACCTATACTAAACTTAACTCATACCTGAAGTGCCAGAATCTAAGTGGTGCACCATTTAAGGTGGAACGGGAAATTCGAATAAGAAGCTGACTTCTTCGTATGTTCAGTTTTTTAAAAGACATGACCTATCAAAATATGACAGCACATGAATGTAGTAAGTTAACTTCTCTACTTTAGTGTAAGGGGTTAGTTAATTACACTGAGGTTACAGTAACCCTGTTAAATATATTTAAACAGTGCTATACATTGAGCGCTCCTGTATCATCTTTAGGATAAGTTAGGCTAGTGTTATTCTTGGTATATGCCTGTTTTGCTTTCCTTGCTCTGAAAGACCTGGGGGATTTTTCACAAAGCAGGATTTCTCTGTCAGCCAGATGAGCTCAGTGTCAAGCCAGTCCAATGGAACAGGAGCCGAACGACACTGTTATTAAACAGCCCTCAAAACCCTTTAGTCATCCAGCTAAAGGAGAAATCCTGCTTTTTTGAAACACTCACCGCTCGAGTTTCTATAATGACTTTCATGAACTCAACCGATTTTTCTGAGTTGTTATATGTAATTCTGATAAGTTATTATTGCTGTTAAATAGTAGTATAAAAATGTTTGGGTGTTATTTTGACTTACTTGGCTTTGCATATACTTCTCTGCCTTGAATGGCTTCAAAAATACATTTTATACCAAAGCCTTCTCTCAAAACTAGCATAAAATAATGTCCCAGGTATCAGGCCATGTATTAGTAACAATTAAATGTCATAACTTTCTGTAAGGGAGCTTTTAGATGTGTTTTCTCTAGAATGCATTTCACATCAAACCACTCTGAAGACTTTGTTTACCATTTAACCATTTGCCATTTAATTATGTTAAAACAGTTTTTAAACTGATGGTACATCATTTTCCTACTGTTTAGTCTGAACAAAAAGATGACAATTGTGGAGAAGTAGACCCTCTATCTAAGGCAGCCCATGGGGACTTTAGTGATCCTGTATATAAGGAGATTGCACTTGCAAATGGTGCTATCAACCGAATGACCCGGGATGAACTACGAGCCAAATGTACTGAGCTGAAGCTTGACACAAGGTAAGATGGATATTCTATTTTTTATCGCCTGTGAGGTCAAGTTGTTTTAATCTACATAATAAAAGTTCTTCTGAAAGCTGTGTGACAATATTACCTTCAGTTGAACTGTTTGTTATGTCTATCCTTGTATTTTCTATCTGTCATTTGATAGAGGTGTGAAAGATGTTCTGAAGAAGCGACTTAAAAATTACTACAAGAAGCAGAAACTGAAGCAGTCGGCAGCCGCTGGAGGGCCCGGTGACACATACTATGACTACATCTGTGTGGTGGACTTTGAGGCTACCTGTGAAGAGAATAATCCATCAGATTTTCTTCATGAAATCATTGAATTCCCCATGGTCCTGATCGACACACACACCTTAGAGATTGTGAGTTGGTGAGGGAGAATGCTTGAATGCCAGTGCTACGCTCAAAATGAGCGTCTTCAACCCAAGTATTGTAAACTGTGTGAAATAACTATGAAATGATGGTAAATATCAGTGAAATGCAATGTAACTTATTTAATTACAGTAGAAATTTTGTACATTTCAAGGTGTCATCCAAAGCCTTTATATTACTATAAATATATGTAACATAGCACATATAACATTCTTGAAAGTAAGTGAACAAAAAAAAAGATTATGTAATCTGCAAAGCAGGGTTAAAGCAAGTTAAAAAGTCCAAAAACTGCATAGCTGGCAGGTAATCCTGTTTGCGCATGGGACAAACTTTGCAGATTAGCCAGAGAAGCAGTGGAAAGCAACTTGCAAGTTGAAATATTTATTTAAAACTCATGTTTTATATTCCTAGGAACATACAATGGAGCTCATTACCAGTTATGAGGAATATCAGCCACACTGAAACGTGATTAAATGCAGGGTCAGTAGAGATCACGGTTCATTTAATTTCCAGTCAAAATGGCCATTAAATACAAGGAGATGTTTCTGAGCAGATTACATACAACATCAACTTTCATATGAAAGGGGAATGTCAAAGAAATATAAGTGAAAAAACAGGAGTTTTCAAAACTGGAGTTAACCAATTATTGAGATAGACAACCGTGCAAGATCTGGTGGACCAGTGGTTTCCAGCCTTGGTCCTGGAGGATCGCCTGCCCTGCACATTTTTTGTGTTTGCTTACTCTGAAACACCCAGTTCAACCCAGGAAGGGCTTGCTAATTAACAGTTTAGTTGGATCAGGAAAGCACTAAAACTCTGGAGGACCTGGGTCAGGAACCACTGTGCTAGACCACCAAAACTTTCACCATCAGATAGAGTGCTTAAATCTTTTATCTAAGAGAGAGGAGAAAATCAAGCTCCACTCTTACTTCAGATCTTAAAAAATAATCCATACTTCCACTGTGTAAGGACAACTTACTGCTATGAGTCTGAAAGGGTGTGGAGCTGTCAGGAAGCTGTTGCTGAGGAAAGGCAATAGGCACAAAAGAAGAACAAAATCAGACAAAGAAGCTGCTGGTGTTCTCAGAACAATGGACTGATCACCCCAGAGTTCAGACCTCGACATCACTGAATGTGTTGATGATTGCACTTTCTACTTTTTATGAGTAATCAATGTCTTAGACTGAACTGGCAAAATAGTTTCTTTGAAAAAGTAAAAGCTAATTTCCTGAAAAGAATTGAAGCTAAAATTAAAGCCAAAGAGTGGCCACAATAAATACTGAAAAAAATGGTATTATGTTTATTTGTTAAGTCTTTTATGTATTTTTTGTTAGGTATATATAATAGTTCTGTTTGTAATTAATGACTGTTTTGGGTTGAAATTAAATGTAGGGGGGTTTCGGACCTTTCTGCAGTGCTGTGTCTGTAGGAAAGCTGTATGTATAAAGCTTTTGGTGTTGTCTGTGTGATTACAGGTAGATTCTTTTCAGGAATATGTGAAACCAGCATTGAACCCACAGCTTTCAGATTTCTGTATTGAGCTAACAGGCATAACACAGGTACGTCTGATGAGGTTTTCTAGTTTAAAGGTAGAATTGTATGATGTCTTGAGTGTTTCTAAAGTCACCTTAAACTTCATCTGCAAAGACCTCATTTTGATGTGCAGCATGTCAAAATCTTAATTTTTTGTTTAAGATATGAATAACATATAAACAATGGTTTCATTATTCACATATGAATAATAGTTTCTTTCTTCCTTATTTTCTTTCCCTAGGAAATGGTAGATGAGGCAGATTCTTTTCCACGTGTTTTTCGCAGAGTGGTTACCTGGCTGCAGGAGAAAGAGCTTGGCACGAAGTACAAATATGCTCTACTAACAGACGGGTAAAGCGATCATATAACTGTCTGTGTGTTTATTTGCTGTTTTATCATGTTTTGCAATTAGGTATTATAAATTCTGTAAGGCTTTCTTTAATAAATAGTAATATTTGTCATGACCATCATATTATTGAGGATCGCTAGTTATTATCATATATCGTTCATTGCTCATATCCTCAGTATGTTGGACTTTTTTCTTAGGTCTTGGGATATGAGTAAATTCCTTTACACACAATGCCGGTTAAGTCAAATTCGGTACCCTCAGTTTGCCAGAAAGTGGATCAACATTAGAAAGTCCTATGGAAACTATTACAAGGTATTATTTTATGTTGTTTGCCTTGTGTGATATTTGTATAATTTGAAGAGAATGAAAAGTCTAATGGATAACGGTAACTGTGTCCTGTTTTGCTCCACAGGTGGCCCGCAACCAGACAAAACTCAGCTGCATGCTGGAGAATCTTGGCATGAAGTATGAGGGCCGACCCCACTGTGGCCTTGATGACTCACGCAACATTGCGCGCATTGCCATCCGCATGTTGAAGGATGGTTGTCAACTGAGGGTCAACGAGCGCTTGCATGAGGGTGAGCCACAGAGTGTGCCCATTAGTGCACCTTTGGAAGGAGCCCCACCTCCTCAGAGGCCCAAAAGCAGAGACTAAAGACATATTTCCCAATGGCCTTTGATTCCCAAGGTCAGCGGTAAGCTGTGGAGATCACATCGTCAGGAAAGAACTGCTTTGTACACACTGGTGGTGCTGGGACCTTTTCCTTTTTCTAGTAATTTCTTTATTTTGATCACATATTGCTCACTGTTTACCGATAGATTATACTTATGAAAGGGGTCTGAACAAACAACCTGTCTGTGTTTGTACTTCTGTTACAAACTGATCCGACTTTGTCCAGAGCACACTGAGACAAGCTCCAGGCTTGTTTTTGAAAATGTACTTTTGATTTTTTTAGTATGTGCTTTGTAATCTAAATCATACAGGTGTTATTTTCATTGCCAGACATACACATTCAAAGGTCCTCTTTACTAACAAAATTTGCAACATCCTAATTGCTCTGCTATTTTGAAAGGTCCATTACTTGCATACCAATAAAAAGTCATTCCTGTTTTCATTTCCAATATTTTATTCTCAACCACATAAAACCAGTTCTGGTTTTGTCTTCTTCCTTTTCTTTGCATTACAGTTCAGGGTTTGCAGAAAAAAGGTATTTTTTTCCAGTCAACAGAGGTTGTATAAACACTGCAGAACTTTGCTTTTTTGTGTGTAAACTTTGGACACAGATCTTATGGTTATTCAGCGTTTTGCAGCATAGAGCTGGGGGCCTTCATACCGCTCTAGCCAATGATTAGCATTGGCCTTGGTAAATTGAGGCTCATGTGCTCATGCTCCAGAGTGTCAAATTCTATTGGCAGCTTTTCTATGGAGGTTATACAAACTGTGTGTGTGTATGTCTGTATGAATATAGTATTCTTAAAGGGCCCACATCTTTTTTCCTGCATTGTTTTTTCCTCCTGAAGTCCAGTTGTGACAGTTGTGAGACTTCATGTACCAAACACGGTTCATGTGAAAGCAGTAATTCATTTATAACACTACCATTTTCCAATATCTCTTTATTCCTTAGAATTAAACAAGCTGTATTTGTTGCTGTGCCTTTAAAACTGATATATGTAAATAGTTTCTTTTCTAATTGGCTGTGCCTGATACAAGAAACAATTCAAACTTAAAGGTGAATGGGCAGGGCTAAACTTTTGTAAATGCTTTTTTGTGGCATCAAAAAACATTGTCCATTTTATCAGCTCCACTTACTATATAGGTGCACTTTGTGGTTCTACAATTACAGACTGTAGTCCATCAGTTTCTCTGCATACTTTGTTAGCCCCCTTTCACCCTGTTCTTCAATGGTCAGGACCACTATAGAGCAGGTATTATTTGGGTGGTGGATCATTCTCAGTACTCCAGTGACACTGACGTGGTGGTGTGTTAGTGTGTGTTATGCTGGTACGAGTGGATCAGACACAGCAGTGCTGGTGGAGTTTTAAACACCTCAGTATCCCTGCTTGAATGAGAATAGTCCACCAACCAAAAATATCCAGCCAACAGCGTCCTGTGATCACTGATGAAGGACTAGAAGATGACCAACACAAACTGCGCAGCCACAGATGAGCTACTGTCTCTCACTTTACATTTACAAGCTTGACCAATAAGGTAGGTGTGTCTAATAGAGTGGGCAGTGAGTGGACACAGTGTTCAAAACTCCAGCAGCACTGCTGTGTCTGATCTGCACCTATTACTACGTCGCCACTGCAGTGCTGAGAATGATCCACCCCCAAGATAATGTCTGCTCTTCGGGGATCTATTGAAGAACAGGGTAAAAGACGGCTAACAAAGTATGCAGAGAATCAGGTGAGCTACAGTCTGTACTCGTACAGCTACAAAGTGCACCTACATCCTCGTAAGACCTGGTAATTCTTTTTTGTCCTCTGCGGGGGACATGAGTCCCCAAAGGATATTTCAGAAACCATATAAGCTACAGTGCTGAAACCTGGTATGCCATGTATAAGAAATATCCTTTCCACTGATAGATCATTTGTTGGGGTTTGTCATTCACAACAGAGAGTCTACCTTTTCAAGATGGCTGCCATCTCAGCAACCACATTTTATGTGAGCAAGAGAAGTAGGTAGCTTAAAAATATACGTTCAACCACCTAACAGTATACTTTTTTGATGTCCTCTGTGGTGGACATGTGAACTGCTTTACATGAAATTCATGGTGTCACAGGTGACAAATTTGACTGAAGCAGAGAAAATGAAAGGATCACAGCCCTCTTGATCCAGTTAGGGTTAGAAGAAACAACATGTAAGCTTAGCGGTTAAATACATGGTGATATTACTGTATCTTAATCTCCTTTTACCCAATTGTGCATTTAAAAAATTAAAACATTAAAATATACTTAATATACTTCCCTTCTGTCTCAATTTACACCTGAGATTCATCCTTATCCTGGAGCAACGTTTGCTGCTAAGTGACACCTAAAGCTGTACTGACTGGGTGACCTGGAATTACTTTAAGTAGTACATTGATAATAGGAACTTTGAAGATTGATGACCAAGTTTTTGAAGTTGTTGCTGATGTTGCAGCAGGGCTTTGGTCTGATGGAGTATAAGAAACAAGAAATATGACATCAACATACCCAGATAGCAGACAGTTTTGGGCCAATTCTGGCTTTCCTATGTGAGCGTTGGTTGACTACCAGGTAAATGCTAGGCATGCGGGCCAGAATAGATCCTGGACAGCTTAATATGCTTTTGCCTCGTGTTTACATTTGTTGGGCAATTCTGGCATGAATGTTATGGACCAACAATGTAGTTGGGCCAGATGTGGGCCATATCTTTTAGTTCTACTCACCTTACAGTGTGTGGGCCAGATCTGGGCCGAGGACACGGCCGTATATTGGGCCAGAAGTTGGCCAGACAAATTTTGCTAACTGGGTAATTACTATGCAACGTCCTGTTGTCCACAATAAAGGACATTACATAAAAAATAAAAAGTGTTTTTTTTTTTTTAAATCACTGTGACAAGTTTTTTTTTAGACTTATTTCAAAATTACTGAAATTCTCAAACTTTAATTGTTGTGGGTCTCAGGAGGATATGGTAAGTGGAGCTGATAAAATAGACAATGAGAGAAGTAACAGGGACATGGTTTTAATGTTATGTCTGACGCATATAACGTTATACTAAATCAGATTCTCAGTTCAAAAAAGTGAGGAGACTCAGTTTTCCACGATGTAGGCCCCAGCTAAATAACGTGCTGTTCTTCGCGGAATTAAAAAGGATCCTCTTGTTTCCTTCTAACACTATTTTCCAAAACTTTTTATCCACGGAAGCAGATTCGTCCGTCCTTTAATGAGGTTCTGCAAGTTATGAATTGCAATATACAGAGTATTTATATTTTTATTTTATAGAGTATTTACATTATATTTACATATATATCTTACTGCACTGTTTCACTCTCTCGTTCGGCCGGCAGGTGGAGCCAGCCGTCCATAGTTACTGTCCAACACGGAAAACATATTTTCTCACGTTCCTTTGTGTACATGGCTTTGGCCAAACCTGCAGAGACACAAACAAGATTAAATATCATAATTCCTGCTTAAATATGCCGCCTTATGCCTTCCTGTCTAGAATCTAGTGAACATTTTATGGTAGAGTCTATTGACAGCGTTGTCGTTATTAATATAAAACGTTACAAAAACGGCAGAAACGCTTTAAATGATTTTAATGTATTAGCAGTCAGTTTAGGGAGAGTCTGGTTCCATTTCCTGTTAGAAAGCCCCAGCCGTGAGCTCCAGTTCTTCAGCGAAGGTGGGCGCGGGTCTCTGACGCAGCGAGGCGGGGCTGAGAGAGGAGGGAGGCGGGGAGGGAGAGAGAGAGAACAGCACTCAGCCTGCTGCTTTTGTTTTACTCCATTAAGCAGCTCCTTTGGCTGCTGGCGGACAGAAAGAGGCAGAAAACGCGTCCGCAGCGCGGTCAGCCTCTGCCACACCCGTGATGAGCCCAGGCTGCGCTCGATGGCGCGGGGAGAGAGGATGTGTGAAGCGCCGCTGCCCGAACACAGCTGCTCGGATGCGCTCGGCTTGTTTTTGTCTCAAGGTGGAGCTTACCTTCGTGCTATGCTGCTGAGCGCTGACCTCACACGGACCCTAGGACCGAGCTCGGCTGTCCGCGAAGGAAGCAGAAGGGCCACCAGCATGCTGCCCGGCTAATTTGACGCTTGCGTTCAATGCGAACGACGCCAGGAGAAGAGGGGACGTGGCCGCTGCAGCACGATGGCTGAGAATGAGACTAATCTAAAGACAGCCAGATTATGGAGGGACGCTGCTTTGCGCTCCAGAAAGCTGAGGAGCAGTTTGCGCCATCTGACCCTCAGCACGAAAAACAGCCAGACCATTACTCTGCCCGAAGACATCAAGGAGATCGAAGTGCTCAATCTGGGTAATAACTCTCTCCAAGAGCTTCCAGAAGGACTGGGTTCTACCCTCACCAGGCTTCGCATCCTGATACTGCGCAGGAATAAGTTTGCAGCTGTGCCTTCTGCAGTGTTCCAGCTCAGTCAGCTGGTCGAGCTGGACATCAGTCACAACTGCCTGGGCCACTTCTCTGAGGACATTGATCTTCTGAAGGGGCTTAAAAAGCTCTGCATCAGCCACAACAAGATCCAGTACCTTCCCTCTCAGATTGGGACCCTGCAGTGCTTGGAGGAGCTGGACATCAGCTTCAACGAGCTCCATGATTTCCCCAGGTCCTTCGCACAGCTCAGGAGGCTCCGGACGCTTGATGTGGATCACAACAAGCTGCAGCGTTTCCCACCGGAGATCCTTGCTCTCAGTGACTTGGAGGAGCTGGACTGTTCCGGTAATAAACTAGAGGGCCTCCCAGGTAATATTATGATGCTCCAGTCCATCAAAATATTGTGGCTGAGCAGTACACACATCTCTTCGTTACCTGAGACCTTCTGTGATCTGCAGAACTTGGAGAGCTTGATGCTCGATAACAATCTCCTCACAGCCCTACCACAGTCCTTTGGGAAAATGCAAAAGCTGAAAATGCTTAATCTCTCGTCCAACTCCTTTGAAGAGTTTCCTCAGGTTATCCTCAAGATCACTAGTCTGGAGGAGTTGTATTTGAGTAGAAACAGGCTGTCTTTTCTTCCAGAGGAAGTGGGCCAGCTGTCTAACCTTGCCAATCTGTGGCTGGACAATAATAGAATAACATTTCTGCCAGACTCTATCGTGGAGCTGGAGAAACTGGAGGAGCTGGTTTTACAGGGTAACCAAATTGCCATACTCCCAGACAATTTTGGAAAACTTGCCAAAGTCAACATTTGGAAAGTTAAGGACAATCCTCTTATACAGCCTCCATATGAGGTGTGCATGAAGGGGATCCCTTATATAGCTGCCTATCAGAAGGAGCTTGCACACTCCCAGCCTGCTGTGAAACCAAGACTAAAGCTTGTTTTGATGGGGCAGAGAAACGCAGGGAAAACTAGGCTCAGGCAATGCATTGTAAGCAAACCGCTGGATGCTAAGACGATACCTGGAGGTAGGGGGATAGATGTGACTAACTGGGTAGCAGATGCTAACCGCAGTCTTACATTCATAGTATACGATTTATCAGGGAAGCAAAACTATGATCTCATCAAACCATTTTTCCTCTCACCTGGAGCTCTGTACATCTTGGTGGTGAATTTAAAGTCATACACCTGTAAGACCTTCTACTCCAGTGTAGGGTATTTCCTCCACCTGCTCAGTGCAAAGGTGCCCCATGCAGTGGTGTGCATTGTGGGCACCCACACTGATCTCTGTGAAGATAGCGAGCTGGAGGAGAAGTGCTTGGACATCCACAGGCAAATCTCCCTGCAGGAGAAGAGAGACATCGACTGCCTGCAGATGCTTGCTATGCAGGTGGACCAGGCCCTGGTGCAGGGCTATGATGTTAGAGCATCTAGCCCTCATGTACTCTTTTATGGAGTCTCAGATAAGAACCTGAGACGTAAAAAATCCCAGCTGCAGTACATGCTTAACAATCGGCTACAGATTTTGTCTCCGGTATTTTGCGTCAGCTGCATGGAGGCGCAGAAGAATATTCAGCGCTTGAAGGAAAAGCTCATGTCGGTTGCTGATCATCGTGACATCTTTCCTAACCTTCACCGGGTGCTGCCAAAGTCGTGGCAGATGCTGGAGGAGCTCCACTTCAAGCCGAAGGACCTGTGGCTTTCATGGTGGGACTCAGCCCGTCTGGGCCTTCAAGCAGGACTGACGGAGGACCGGCTGCAAAGCGCTCTCTCGTACCTACACGAGAGCGGCAAACTGCTGTACTTTGAAGACAGCATCACTCTGAAAGAATATGTCTTCCATAATCTGCCACGGTTCATCGCCATCTTGAATGTTTTCTTTCAGAAGGACCTTGCTGCGATGCTGGAAAAGCTACATTCTGAAGGGGAGGGTGGTGATAACGCCACTGCCTCCCAAATGCAGCAACATGTGGAAGGCTTTCTGCTGCACGGCCTCCTGCCATCCAACGTCATCCGCCTGCTCCTCAAACCTCTCGTGCAGACGCAACAGGACCTGCACCTGATCATGGAGCTGCTGGAAAAGATGGGGGTTTGCTACTGCGTCAACAAACCCCGCAGCAAACCGCTAAATGGAGCCACTGTCTTGTACAAGTTCCCCAGCCTAGTCAGCAACGAGGAGGCCCATACTGAGCCCTGGATGAACGGTGGCTCGTTGATCCCTGGTCAGTTCTTCTCTGTTGAACAGCTACAGATTGAGTACAGCTTTCCTTTTCTCATCCCCCCTGGACTCTTCTCACGCTACAGCGTGCAAATCAACAACCATGTGGTGCAGCGCTCTGATGGAAGGCATTGCATCTTTGCCTACCGAGGTAAAGTGCCTGTGATGGTGAGTTACCGTCCCTCTCGAAACAGACTGCAGCCAGAGACGCTTGCCATTTCTAGCCATGCGTCTTTGCCAAATATCTGGACAGCTTGGCAGGCCATTACCCCTCTGGTGGAGGAGCTGAATGTTCTTCTGCAGGAATGGCCTGGTCTGCATTATTCTGTTCATGTCCTGTGTTCCAAGTGCCTGAAGAGAGGGTCACCCAACCCACATTCCTTCCCAGGTGAGTGAGCTTGCTTATATTTTTCTTTATTTCTATTATCCTTTACTTTATTTCAGATAGAGTTATTTGTTACTGCGGGCAGTAGGCAGTGTTTATATATTTGATTGTTTACTTCTGGCTGCCATTAGCGTCAAGAGAATCCGCACATCCTGTTTGATAAATAAACCCCACCAATGCATGTCACATATTTTACCAGCAATACTGTCTTGATGTTGATTATTGAAGGATGATGATTATAATATTGTTATAACAGTATTATTACTATTAGTACTAGTTTTAGTTTTATTGATAGCAATAATGTTGAGCTCCATATTGGTCCTAAATGATATTTGCCAGTGCAAATAAAGGCAAAATTTGCTTTTGCTTCAGCACAGCAGTTTAGCAATCACAGTGCTGTCACCATGTGAGCTAATGATAGGATTTATTGCTTGGTAAACATTGACACATTTGAGGTTGAGTGTGGGTGAAAAGCACTGAGGGAGGATGGAGGCTAAACAAAAGAGCATGAGGGGCTAGGAGTGACAGGAGGGGGTGTCTCAGTGGGCCTGCAGCCCCACCTAGAAACACAAATTAGCCAGAGCCAGTCTGTCTCGCCTGCTGAGAGTGCAGCCACACACACAGTAGTGGAGAGGATTGCTATGGTAACAAAATATGCCAGTTCCTGGGATGCAGGGATGCAGACAAGCATAACAGCCTTTGGTTGCTTCCCGTTGAATAGTAAGAACCACCATACAGAGACGTAACAAATGAATGCAATGACCACTTCATATAAGAACAGTTGTACTTGTCGTTATCTACAAACGTCATTTGTGTGAACATTGTATTCATATTTTTGTTTATACAGAGGTCGTCCATGATTTAATTTGTGTTGATTTGCCCAAGGTGCTCATATTCTGCTAGTGTCTATGTAATGTGACATGCCATTTTTGAAAATTTCTGCCTAATTGCTGTTTATCCTTTAAGCTTCACGCATCTCTTTCACTCAAAATTAGCCATATCCTTTCTATTCTTCCTTTGTATCATCTTCTCTTTGGTCATGGAGCTCATTCAGGCTGCTGCAGTGGATTAGTTCATGTCTGTGGTCATGGCTGTTTGAATCATTTAACATAATGCTGCGCTCTGCAGAACTTGCTCAACAAACCCGTCTTGTCTCAAAAGGGCTATAAGCCACGGATTGCATTGACAGTACTCCATTTTTGTGTTTCTGGCTTGAACTGACAGGATTCCTTTATGTGACAGTAATGAGGTGTGGTGACATCTACATATGGTACAATAGTGCTCTACACGCTGTTACAGGTCCTTTTAATACTATCACCAGCAGGGAAAGATGCACCAAATAATGTGATTAGTGACTTCAGCTGTGTGTAAATCATTGTTAGAAACAGTTAGGGACCCCCCAGTATACATTTTTGCGCATTAGCACAGGGCCTGTGGTCATACTTTTAGATCAGATGGCAGCACGAAAAACACTCTTAGTATTTTTCCTATAAATATTCAGATGTGATCAGCAGGTGTTTTGAGATGTGTTGAGATAGCTCGTGACTGACTTGTATCTGCGTTAGGGATGTGACGATACAACATTGCATGAAATTGTATTGCAACCTATCGTATCACTGTTTCCATCAAATTGGTTTTAAAGGAGAATGCCACCGACTTTTCAAAATTTTGGCATAGTTCTATCACTGATTTGGAAGCAAAGTCATTCAGTGTGATTTGTTGTGAAACAGTTTATTGTAAAAAAACTTAGCAACTGGGCTTTCTTTACATAGATGGTAATAGGAGCCAGGGGCTGTATGTCTGCAACACAAATATAGCTTCTTAATTTACTATCTAAAACTATCAGTGAGCTTAGATGCGACGTCTGACTTCTTCTTCGTGTCTTCTTTGTATGTGCAATGTCGATGGTGGTAAAATAGTGATTGAATCCGAGCAATCACGTTTTCTTTGGGGAACATTTGGCCTTGCAATGCCCTGCTTGTACCTCTCCGCCATGAATGGATTTAAAAAAAACAAAAAAAAAAACATTTTAGGCCAGGACTTTATTGTAAAGCTATCGTTAAACAAAGTCTCCAGCATCAGGCGGCATGTTCATAACCATGTCATGCTATATGTTTCTGTGAGGTAGCTTTTAGAGCATTAAACTCTTCAGATGCCTGGTTCCTGTTACTCCACTGTGAGCAATTCTAACATGGCTAGTTTTTCTAGAATAGAGCACTTCGCATCAAACCACTCTGAATCGCTTTGTTTACATCTTACAAGCGTCAGTATTAGATAATGGGCAACTAAAGTAGTAAATGCGATTGATTTCTAAGGCTTTATGTATGGCAGCACTGGAGTTACACTCTAATTGTTCCTTACTTACTGGTGATAACGTATCAAATATAATGGAGCATACAAAGTTGGCGTTGTGCATGACCCATTTGAGATAATGTAGCGCAGAGATTTGGTGTAATTTTGGTCTCTGGCTCGTTTTCAAAGGAATGCTTGACCTGAGAGGTGACATAGCAAACAGAGCTGCATTTCCTTACCAGTCCACGTCTTTGTCACTGTGTCTACCATCTGAAAAACTGTGAAATGTCCTTTCAGCCTATTTCCCTTTTGCCAAAAGCATGTGACTGTATAGTGCAGTTAGGATTTACTGTTCAAAGCTGCATCATATCAAACAAAGATCCCACCCCACTTCAATAATCACGCCCACTCATCCAGCCTTCATACTTTTACCGTCACAGATGTCATTTCACAAGGCAGTGTGAAATAGTGATGTAATGTCACGTATCACAAACATCAGTGTTTGTGACTGATTCAGCAGACTCACTTTTGCCAATGTTAACAGGCTTTCTCTGGACAAACTGGACCATATCCTGTCCTCACTAGATTAAGTTGGGCAGATAGCTAATCTAACAGGCTCCAGGTTTCTGTATTAAACATTGCTGTACTATGACATGCTTGGCTGGCAGATGGTCATGATTTTGTGACCTTGGTGCAGACAGGCTTAAACATTTGAAAATGTAAGCCCCCTCTTTGACTGAGACAGCCAGTGACAGCAGTAGTCATTAGCACACGAGATTAGAACCCAGAAAATAATGACCTCTTCTTTACCGAGGGGTAAATGACAAGGTAACACATCATGCAGAGATAGAATTAAGATGATATTTGTTTTATACTCTTCACAGTTGTCCTCCAAATAGCACAGGATATTATATTAAAATAATTAGAATGAAAACATAATAATATGTCTCTCTTAACTCAGCATATCAGGATTATCACTTCTGATCTTCTAATTTATTTTGAAATTGTACATGTAGTACGTACAATCCAAGCTCGACCTCTAGGTAGGGAGGCATAAGAGCAGGCACTGCAACAGACCTCTGAGCCATTTTTACTGTTTATGGCCTTATTAGTGCAGAACACATTTAGAATCTTATTAGTAAGATAAAAAGGAGGAGTTTTATGTAAGAGGTGCATGGCACAAACCTTGCCCATATTTGCCAAAGAGGAGTCATAAAGAAAGCACTGTGTTTATTTCAGCTTGGGTAACGAGCCAGAGCTAGATGTGGCGTAATATACGAACGACTTGGCATGTTCTGAAAAGAAAACTTGTTCCCTCTCTCGGTGGACATTCTTCTTTCTTTATAAGACCAATCAGCGATTGACGTAACAGCACCACGGCTGACCGTAGACAAGTCCTGAGTTTATAGACGGCGTGGTAAACATCCATACATATTGCTGTGTGGTTATGAATGCTGTTACTGTTTTGGTTCCTCTTCTTCTGCCTCCTTCTCTTCCACCACTACTGATCCAGCTTTTAGTCCGTCCCATTAGAAGGTTGAGATGTTATTCTGCCCAAGTGTTTTGCTTGTGCGCAGTGACAGTGTTTCACCTGGAAGCCCCGTAATGCAGTACAGATGTTGATGCTCATATGGTTTGTGGGAATGTTAACATTTTTCGGTTTTGTAATGAGGGATTTATTCAGGTCTCATATGTTGAGTCATTCAGTCAGGATGTGCTTTTATGTCTGGTTGATTATTGCTTCCTGGAGCCCTTGAACGTCTCCCACCGTGCTCTTTTTCCAGTATCTGATACAGATACAGCCAAGACAGGGACTTGGCTGCAGTAACTCCACAGCAAGCACTAAAGATGCAGCTGCTGCTTTCCACTGAAAAAATCTTAATGTAGTGTTACGCCTACACATTGTGCAATGTCCATTCTGAGCAGACAGTAATCGCCCACTTATTACTAGGATTAGGGCTGTCATGATCGATTGATTACACTTGATTGATCTTTGAAAATATTGATTATAATGTACTTTTTCAATGATTTGGCAGTTTGCATGATGATAATGCACATTTTAAATTCCTTTACTGCTCTCTCTTACAGTAAAAACAGAGCATTGTGGAAATGCCTATATTTATATCAATTTTTGCCACACATAGTTTTTTTAAAGACTTCCTAGTTCATCTTTTTCCAGAAAAGTTTTTTTTGGAATCTTTGAAAGGTTACGCAAGGTTTGTTATTGTTTAGTGACATCAATTTTTGTTTGGCCTGTTTTAAAAAACTGATGATTAACTGTCAAAAATAATTGTTAGATCACTCAATTACTAACATAATCTCAACAGCCTTTGCTCTCAGAAAGCCTTGGTTGGCTAGTGAATAGAGCTAGTTGGTCAGCGTAAGTTCCACAAGCTTCATCGCTCTTGGGCGCCCCCTCTGGTGCAGCACTGGTGCTCGTGGAAGTATTCTCTCAGAAGCTCTGGGCAGTCACGGATGCATGCATCACAGAGCTGGAAATCTCACCAATAAAGCACTGATCATCACTTTAAGAAAGAGTCACGTTGCACAGCACGGCTATCCTGAACAACAGCCAAACCAAACGAATGGCAGCAATGGGCACTAATAACTTGCTGAACCAACTTTTTGTTATTGTAATTTATGTGAGGCTCTTTAGAGCTCTTTAATAGTGGTGAAGCTCCAAGCTTTAGAGTGATAGCATATTGGATGAT